TAGGATATTATTATACTCATTAAACGGATGTGTAGGAAGAAAATTAACAATTGACTGAAGTTTATAGTGAATGAACGAAGCTCCGTGAACACACGACCTACTACTCCTGCGTTTTCTGTTGAACTTTAACCTGTAAACTACATTTGTTGCTAAATGGACCTCTCCGCTAAGCCCCTCCCTTAATAAGGAATAATAATATACCATGTAACGCAAACACGTGCGTTTATTAGAACACACGTGTGCTTGTCGGCCCGCCTGTGGGACAAAATGCGTATGCTGGCCCTGTTCTGATTTGTTATAGTGAAGTTCATTATATTGTTTTCACTGATTTCTAATAATGTGGTGCAATGTTCTGTTATGATAGGTGATTGGGGTACCAGATGATCGCCTAGGAGAGGACATTTGTATATGTGTAAGGTGTGTGTAAGACTAATATGTGATAGAATAGTTTGTATGTACTTTACTTTATACATAGGCCTTATTCATGACTATATAATTCATGGTTCTGATAGGATTTTATTGTACTTGTGGATTGGATACAATAACATCCATTCAGAATTGTTTTAAGACTGGTGTAAAAAAGGACGCCACTGCTTATTAAACTGTCCGTTAGATTTAATTTTAAGCATTAGGCCTAGTCCAGCATCAAATGAACTCGATTTATGTTGAAACGAACATTCTTTCAAACTTCCATTTTTTTTCCTAAAAATAGAACAAAGAAGAATGCGAGCATTGACAAAGATCAGATTGTCACGTATCTAACTGGAAAGGTTAGTAACTACGTTATGCTCATAGACATTTGGGGAAAATTAATGTTATGATCAAAAGTAGGTTTGTTCAATATAATAATAATACATACCTTATGTATGTGTACATTATTATGGAGCATAAAACCTGTGTGTTGCTGGTTTAATTCTCATAGCTTCATTTTCCACTTATTTCACTACGAAGTGGGTAGGCACATGGACAAAGTACTTTCCTACTCTTTGGTGGAAATTCCTTTCACAATACAAGCCAGACCTTAGATGTTATTCTTATTATGACTCTCTTCATTCATTCATTCATTCATTCATTCATTCATTTATTCATTCATTCACTCACTCCCTCACTCCCCCACTCATTTATTTATTTATTTATTTACCAAATATAGCGCCCTTTTCATGGGTACTTATGTTCAAAGGCGCTTTACATATAGCATACAAATAGAATACAAAAATATAAAAGTAAGGTTTAAGTTCATCAACTATATATTGAAAATATTTGCAAAAAATTGATCCTATTTTAAAAATTTCTGTTCAGTCAGGCTTACACCACACAAAATAACACACAGGAAAACTGTTGACATAGTCTCTCTTGTATATCATTCTAAGTCTCAAATATTAAAAGTTGTCTCATTATTATATACAAACAAAGCCAACATATATTCAAAGTTCTTGTCAAATTTAAGATTTAAAAGATTAAAAGATTACATTTAAAAAGAAGTAAAAAACATAAATTGCACAAATGAACTACAGTATTGACAAAACATCATAATTTATCAAATAGTTAAATAATTAAATAATTGTTGATATGTTATTGTACATTAAAATAAGATAAAAATATGTTATAGAAAAAAACCCCTAGACATTTAATCAGAAAAAGGGCATAAAAGGAAAGACACAGAAAGGGTTCACTAAGATGTAAGATTAGCGAATATTAACTGAGAGCTTTGAATATTATAATTTTGTGGTTTTTTTAAGTACTTTTATGCTTTATATATTATGTAAACATCTCTTTCACAATTCAGTTTTTTTTTCAAAACTGCTATGAAATTATGTTATACTTTTAGAGAATGGAGTTGTTGTATTATTGTGAGTAAAAAAATCCTGTAACATGGTAATTAAACTATAATTGGAAGACTAGCATCTTAACTACCGTACCAAGATAATCAACTACAATCCACTATTATAATCTACTCAACATATGAAAACTATAATATTTTTATGATTATTGTATTGTGATAGGCCTATTGTAAAGTAATTTGGGAAACACCTTTTTTTCTATTTTATTTTTATTAGGTGAGAGTTGAAGAAAGCATTCCTGGTTATGTTTTGCTTTTTGAGTTATTCCCGAAAAATGATATTGGAAAAGTAAGCATTTTTAAAACTACTTTTATTTCTCAAAATCATAGTCTGAGAGATTTTAAAGATGTTTTGCCTCTGGATTACAAAAAACAATCATTAAAAAAATGAAACTAACTTGCTCATTTTGTAAAAACATACAACTTAAGCATAACTTGAGCATTGACAATATTGAATTTAAAACTGTGTGCCCTGATTTGTATACTGGTTAATGATAAATGTAATATTGGAAAAAAATTCCACTTCCAGCTAGAATTGTCTTTATATAATTATGGATAAACATTTTTAAATACACTTATTTCTATGTTCAAGTTGATAATTTGTTGTGTTACTTTAAAATAAGCAAAATCAATTTGAAAAATTAGTTCAATGATTTTTTTTTATTTTCATGGGACAATACGTGTTGCATTTACAATTTCGTAAAAGTAATCGGAACAAAATATATGGCAAGAGAAGAGAGAATTGATATTACATATATATTTTATTTCAGATTGACCGTGCGAGTCTCAAAGAGCAAGCTCTACAACAAATTAAACATTGTATTATATAGCGAAGCAAAACTACAAACGTCACAGTACACTATATTCTCCTGATGGAGAATGTATTAATTGGATTAAGTTTGGAGAACCAGTGTAGGCATACAAATTAAGGAAAACTATGTTCCTGTCATTTAATAGAATTTTCAGTCTAGATTAGCTAAGCGTTAACCTGTATAGACCATTTTATCGGGTTTATATTGAAACAGCGCCGCCAACGTCTCGCAACTCGCTGGGGTACTTCCAACGGTCTAAGACTTGTCTCTGAGCAGCTAGCTAGTGTCAAATAAAGCGTCGCGCACACACTCGTAACTTCGTAGCGTGAAGTGCCAAGTGGTAGTTGCCAGTTGCCAGGTTTCCCGAAAATGTTCTCTATTCAAGATTTCATTATTGCCCATACATAGAATTTCTGGCAAGAATATTTTTAAAATATTTATAATGTTATACTATCTTCTACCCCTTTTAATTTAATCATGTTCATTTAATTATTCAGTTTTAATCTATGTATATGATTAGACTTACCGAAAAAAAAACTATAGGCCTAAACGTGTTTATGAATTTAGTATAAATATAGTTATTGATTACATGAAGCGATCTTTGCCGTGGGAACATTTTTTTGTTTTTCTATGTGGGTATTTTTTTTCTCTTCCAATAATCTGTTCAGAACAGAAATTTTGAATTTCGAAGTAGGGTTATCTGTCGGCCTAAGTGCTTTGTAGACATTCTTCGTTAAACAAAAGAAAATTATCCACAGATACCTCCGAAACCAGATGAATTTATTCAAATGTATTTATTTTTTTATCGATTCCTTATAAATTTAAATAACAATACCATATTTAAACTTCATCCATGTAGCTTTCGTATTTTGTGCACAATAAAACTAAAAATAACCAGTACCTATACGTTCCTCTGTATTTTGCTTAATCGAATCTGTCTTTTGCTTACCGGTTGAGTGCGCCCTCAGAAGTTAACGCTGCCTAATATAAGATTGGGAATCCCCGTCATCCAATGACGCCACTGATTGAATACTGCAGTTAGTTCGTATTAGAGTTGTACCTGTACTGTATGGAACGCCTTTACTGCCTTTGGTGGCTCTTTTCCGTTCGGTGCATTTGCTATTCGGCCCTTTTAACATTACGTTCGGTGCTTTTACATTACGTTCGGTGATTTTTACATTACGTTCGGTGCTTTTACATTACGTTCGGTGCTTTTTACATTACGTTCGGTGCTTTTACATTACGTTCGGTGCTTTTACTTTACGTTGCTTTTAACATTACGTTCGGTGCTTTTAACATTACGTTCGGTGCTTTTGCCGCACTTCGGCTCTTTTATGATTTGGTGCTTTTACCTTTCGGCCCTTTCATCATTACGTACGGTTCTTTAATCATTCGGTGCTTCCATGACCTTTGACATCGGGTCAAGTGGAAAAAAATCAACGGCTGTGGGAATGAGCCTTGTGGAAAAGCATATTCGACATGTGATTATCTTAGTGATAAAATTAATAACAAAAACAAAACAAAACAAAATAAAAAAACAAAGCAAAACAAAAACAAAAACAACAAAAACGAAAACAAAAATGTCTCGATCAATCAAAATAGTATTAGAACACATGGATCTACATTTTCTTGTCCCTAAGTTTGAAAGGGAAAGGGTACGTTCTAGTTTTTTTCCACATGATTTGGGTGGTATTTTAGGGCAAATAGAAATATAAGATTATCACTATAGACCTAGTATTGAAAACAAAAATAACTAGGGAGACTCTTCTTTATTCCGGATATGAAGAAGCAGGCTTATTTAAATAAAAGAAACGTAATTAATTAATTAATTAATTAATTACCGGTAACCAAACGATTCCAAACAAGTCCGATCCCATTTTTGGCTTACATAATATTAAAATAAATAAAAGTTAAACTCAAAATTTTCCCCTCCAGTTGATTGATTTATTTTCCCCTCCCTTTACTGTCCGGTCGTTTTAGAAATGCTCCTTCTGTGGTTATCTCGTATTTTGATATTGGTATTTATTTTTTGTCTTTTTATTTTGTCTACCTTTTTAATATTATATAATATATATTTTATTCTTACTTCTTAATTCATACTCAATTCAGCCTTTGTTGCTGCTATGTATGTTTTTGATGTTGAATTTTTAATAAATATACCTCAAATAAATAATAAAAACTTAGCATTTATATTACAACAAAGATACACATTTGCAGGGGTCCCAAGTTGGAAAAAGGCAATTCGTGAAGCAGGGGTGGAGCCAGTGCAGTGGGAGGGTATGTGAGGGTATATTTTGAATAAGTACTACATTGCGCCCTCATAGTCACCCTCATCAAATAACACTTGTGGATGGGACCCAGCCAGTGACAGTTCAAACGTCGGTCCGGTAACATCATTGTAAATACAGCTGACTAATTTTCCGACGTCACTCATTTAATACCATTTACAAAACGTATGTACTTTATATTTTATTCTTTACTTTTAACTGTTATTTCAATGATTTAGTAATGTTACGTTTATGTTGAACACTGTACCACGGTGTCCGATACATTAATGACAGGATGAGAACGATTGGTTTCTATAATTAATTAACGCTAATTTTAGTACATTATAATATGCTACATTATCATACGTAATATTACTTTAGTATTTTTATCTTTTTTAATGAATATTTTATGTTGATGATGTGTATATAGAATACCGTATGTAAGCCCAGAACGAATTAACGATACAAGGGTACTCGCATACCTGTGGTCGATTAAAGGTCTGCCTCTCATGACCTTGTGTAATTATACACCGAGGTACATTGTCCTGTGTTAGGATGATGGCAATGTTTTGACTTTTTAACTAGCTAGTGATCATTTTATATTATTATTACTACGTATTATTTTTATGTTATATATATACATATTAGGTTATGGTATTATTTAATCCACAACGAAACAGTAGATTATTTAGTTACTAATACTGTAGATAAGATACTATGTCCAACACCGTAGTTGGATATGTTGTTAATCTGAACCTTAATTGCTATTCAGTTGGCCTTCGGGATAATTACTTTACCATCGTTTATGTATGTTTTGTTTATAGATACCGTAACTTAATGGGAGCTAACGAATTGCTATTGTAGAAGGAATGTGTTGGTTTTTAATAAAAAGTTTTGTTTTAAATAGTTTAATAATATCTATCGTCAAAAACGTGTAATTTAAGATTAACTCAATAATATAGACTTTAATAATAATACTTACTGTAGAACTTTAATTTACTTTAATTGCATTTGGTGCGTTATTTACGTTTACCTAGCGTTTATTATTATTAACTACTTTACTTTTAATTAACGATTTTGTTAAAGTTTCTTTATATCTAACGTAATATCATGTGCTTAACTTAATTCCTTGGTAAGATCGTTCTCGAATTCGACTGAGTTTACGTGTGACCTTGAAACTGTTACTAATTTCTAACTTGTCTTTTGATATTTTAATAAACTTATTGATTTGCTTTATAAATTCGGTCTTCTTCTCTGTCTGTCCAGTGATTGAACCAATTTAGATAATTCCTCGTCTTGTACGAGTTGTGCTGGTCACACAATTTTGGTGCCGAAACCCGGGACAGACGCAAATTTATATGAGAAAGATTATTTTGTTTACAGAGTAGAACGATATTAAAGTAGGCCTTATAATAATAGCTATAGTAACATTAATAATAATTAATATTAATACTTAAAATAAACAAACCAGCACAGTCCTGATACTTTAGCAGAGTGATGGCAAGCCCACCGCAACTCACCCCTTACGACGCAGAGCCAAACGGCCGGACTTCAACCAGTACAGGCAATCTGACACCACTGCAAATGGCAGGATTCGATCCACAACCTGTTACACCAACCACATCGGATCGATCAACACAGTCGCTACCACTACCAGTACAGAAACTAAACTACTCGGATGCGGAAGATAGGTCGCAATTACCAAGCTCTGGAGTTATTACTACGCACCAAACAAAGCCGGTTGCCACGTTTTCGGGTCGCAACAATGGCCACCAAATAGAAGACTGGATAAGGGACATGCAGTTCCTTATAGAGTCAAAGAAGTTAAGTGATTTAAGTGATAGCGCTGCCTATGGTGAGGTCATACGCCATACACAAGGTAGACCCAGAGATTTAGTACTAAATCTAGAAGCAAGGGGCGACGCCGGCAAGAAAGCAACGGCTGCGTTTGAAGAATTGACTCTAGAGTATGGTGAGGCTAACCCCACAATGTCACCGATGGCTAATTTCTACGCTAGCGTTCAAAGAAGAGGAGAGAGTGCGGCTGATTTTGCTATTGCATTGGAGGCCATGCTGCGAAAGGCAGAACGGGTAAAATCGACAACGTTTGACGATCGTGACCAAATGCTTACCACCCAGTTCATGTTTGGGTTAACTGATCTGAAGGTTCGAGAGAGACTGACCCCTATGAAACCAAGAGATATGCTGTTCTCGCAGTTGCGACGTGAATTGCGAATAATTTCAGAGGAACAGATCCTCGCCGACAGAAGGGCGTTTTCACTAAACCAAACAGTTGAGAAACCCAGCACATCATCTCAGATTGATAGATTGACAGTTGCACTGGAAAAGCAACTCGAGGCTACGAAAAGTTTAATCGACAATCAGCGTGTTTTATCGGATAAGTTACATCAACTAGAAATAGCAGGACAATCCACCAGTAATCAGTCGTCGATGAACCAGAGGTACCAACCCATGCCATCGCAACCTCCCCCACAATTTCAGAAGAATCAGAGGTATCAATCTCCACCATCACAACCTCAACCAAAATTTAACCAACCAAAAGTGAGGTGTTATAACTGCCACGAGTACGGACATATCGCTCGATACTGCTCCAAGCCTTTAAACTAGTATCACCTGCTGTTGAGGGACAACCAGTGGGTGCGGAGAAAGAGAGCCCGATTTTAAATATTTTGGACAGTGACGACGAGGGCCCCAAGATTGTTGGGCACGCAAATACATGTCAGGTGCATGTGAGTGGAAAACAATGTGTAGCATTATTGGACACCGGCTCCCAAGTAACAACCATCACCTCTGAATTTGTAAAAGAACACCCAGTTTTATCAAAGGCAGATATCCTACCGACGGATATCGTTATTGAGGGTGCCGGAGGACAAGCTGTTCCGCACAAGTGAGTAGTGTGTATCGATCTACAAGTACTTGGAGAACAAGTCAAGACAGTACCGGCCTTGGTTGTGTCCACAACTTCAGCAAGGCGGAATATTCCATGTTTAATTGGTACCAATGCTATTCGTGCTAGCCGAGATGTCTTCCAAACGAAATACGGGCGTTCCCTAATGCAGAGAATTCGACGCATCTCCTCTCCGTGGCATTTAGCGTTTTCATATGTAAATACTGGTGGAATGGATTTGGCGACCAAAAATGGAAACATTGGCATGATCAAGTACATGGGGCGACGCCCAATCACAATACCGCCTGGTACTCAACGAGTAGTATCAGCCAAGGCACCCAGAGTGATCAAAGACAGGGAATTTACTGGACTCGTCGAACAAATTACTAACGATGTTAACTCTCGTTAAGTCTACTACATGGTTACGTGCCTTAGTAATTAAGCATCATGTTAGGACTACTGTAGATAAGGAAATGCGTAAGGTATCTTACCGCCATGGGCGTGAATTTAACAACCTTCTACGTGAACATGCAATAATCAATGGAACGTGTAAGAACCCTAAACATATAATTACTAACTTAACTGGCGAAACATTATCTAAGGAAGAAGAATCTGTCTTAACATTTGGTATCCGTAAATGATTAGCTACACGACCTAAGGACTCTGATATGTTTGTTTATGCTGAATCAATTTGGAAACAACTTAATAATGCTGATGCCCTACCTAAATCATTCATTAAACGTGAGAAAATTAAGAACTCAATTCGTGCTATGACATGTCATTTTCTCGACTTTGATAACAGAAATTTAAATTGTGATGCCAAACGTATTAATACTTTAAAAATCTTACGTAATAAGTATGTAATTCTTAAACCTGATAAAGGAAATGGTGTTGCGATAATGAAGAAAACTGATTATTCCTGATAAACTTCAAACAGAGCTTAGTAACATCAGGAACTGTCTTTAACCACGCAGCTTAACTCCTTACAAGCCTACCTCCGGACACTATTTAATAGAAATGAACTAACTGAAACTGAATACAAAGAAATTCGTCCAGTATCAACCATGCCTGCTAGAGCCCATGGACTACCCAAATTACATAAAGATTTTGATAATATTCCACCCCTAAGACCTATAATTGACACTACCGGTACTTGTTATTATTCAGTAGCTAAGTTCTTATCAAACTTATTAGGCCCTCTAACGGTTAATGATTTTGTCCTTAAAGATTCTTTTGATGCTGCTGACCGCATTAAAGCTATACCAAACAATTTATTTAAATTAGGTTACCAATTTGTATCTTTTGATTTTGAATCTCTGTTTACAAATGTTCCCCTTACTAAGGTAATTAATATAATTCTTGATAGGGTTTACAATAAGAAACTGATATCTACTAACCTTAAGAAAAATTCGCTAAGGAAACTACTTGGAGATTGCTGTACTAAAACTGTATTTACGTGTAATAACGAATTCTATAAACAAACTGATGGTGTCTCAATGGGTTCGCCTCTTGGCCCAGTTTTAGCTAATATTTTAATGACTGAACTAGAAGAGTCTATTGTTCCTAAACTTATTGAATCAGGTACTATTAAGTTTTATACTCGTTTTGTTGACGACACGCTAGTATTAGCTAAGCCCAATGATTTCCCGCAAATTCTAAGCTACTTCAATGCTTTTCATAGACAGATAAATTTTACTTTTGAATCATTTGAAAACTGTGACACAGTACACTTTCTGGATTTACAATTTAACAACAGGGTAGGAAGCATGATTATATATCGTAAAAATACACATACAGGTCAATATGTCCATTATTATAGCTTTGCTCCATGGAACCATAAGATCTCCTGGATTCGTAGTTTAGTTTCTAGAGCCCACAAATTGTGTACTCCTAATAAACTTCAAACAGAGCTTAGTAACATCAGGAAGTTTATGTCTTGGAATGGGTACCCTTTAAAAGTTGTTAATAATGTACTTAAGAAATTTAATGAACCTAAATGTATAAATAGGCCTACTGATGATAGCTTGATTAAGATTTGGGTTAGATTGCCTTATCTAGGAAAACCAGGTGAGTTCATTTTACGTAGATGTTTAAATAAGGTAAAGAAACACTTAATTAAAGAGGTAAAATTCATAACTTTATGGCAGTATAAAAATGTTTCTCATTTTATATCTACTAAGGATCAAACCCCTAAGGAGCACAGAAGTTCTGTTGTCTATCATTTTAAATTTCCAGGCTGCAATAGTGATTATCTTGGTAAGACAGATAGGTGCTTAATAACTAGACTTAAAGAACATTCTTCACGATCTGATAGTGTTATATTTCATCATGTTAAAAAGTGTGAGGCATTCCAATTTGTTTTAGGATTACAGGGTATACTTGAAAATGATAATGTCGTCTGTAATGTAAGTAATAAATTAGGTTTAATATTTTCTAGTACTAACATTATTGACAGCTTCCGAAACTGGTCTATCCTATTGTTTAAAGAAGCGTTCGCTAAACGTAGACTACACCCTTTGCTTAAAAATGGGCTCAGAGCTTCAAAAGAGCTTTCTTTGTTTTTGTAGGTATCTTTGATCATTAGAGTAAGAATGCTTTGATCTTTTGTTTAAATCACTGCTATGTCATATACACATCTAGATGTGTATAAGTGCATATAAGCTTGCTAATATGGATAATTTTTCATTCCTGATGATGACATAATTAATGTCGAAATATTGAATCCCAACACGATGGCGTGTATTTCAATACTTGGAGTATGTATTATACTTTCTTATGTTAACTCACGTGACCATGATTTGATAGCCGGGTGTGGTGTTGCTGAAGTTTCGAAAGGTTGCGTACCAGTTACCGTTGTCAACTCCTCATCTCAACCAATCAAACTGTGGCGACGTACGTGTATAGCTAACCTGGCTGTAATATCTAACATTGAAGGTGGTGATGCGAAGGATGTCTGTCTCAGTATGGAGGTTTCTACTACTAGCGGTGACGAGGAAGTTTCTGACGATCCCGACCGTCAACCGGACGTCATTCGACGCATATTAGAGAAGAACAGCGACATTCTTTCCAGTCATCCCAATGACATAGGTTTTACTAATACTGTGGTGCACAGAATCCCACTAATAGACCAAACGCCGTTTCGATTGCCGTACAGACGCATTTCCCCATCCGACTTTAAGGAAGTTCGCGACCACGTGAAGGATTTACAGCAAACAGGATTTATTTGGGCAAGTCAAAGCCCATTCGCCTCACCTATTGTTGTCGTCCGAATGAAAGACGGGAGCGTGCGTCTATGCGTCGATTACCGAAAATTAAACTCCAAGACTGTTCGTGACGCGTTCCCCTTACCGAGAATAGATGAAAGTCTCGATTCCCTCGGCAAGGCAAAATATTTCTCCAGTCTAGACTTGACATCAGGGTACCTTCAAATTAAGATGGACCAACAAGACCAACACAAGACAGCATTCACCACTCCATTTGGGCTGTTTGAGTATACCCGTATGCCTTTTGGGCTTATGAACGCTCCATCATCATTTCAACGCCTAATGAATACTGTTTTTGGCGATCTCAGTTTTACTGATCTTTTACTCTACTTAGACGACATCAATGTATTTAGCGAAACAATCGAGGAACATGTACGGAACCTCCAAACAGTATTCGATCGCCTTCGTAGTCACGGCCTGAAGCTAAAGAAATCGAAATGTCATTTTTTAAAGAAGGAAGTACAGTATCTTGGCCATCGTGTTTCGGCGGAGGTTGTATCCACAGATCCCGACAAGGTAGCTGCCGTGGAAAACTGGCCAATTCCAAGCGGGAGGAAGGAAGTACGCCGTTTCCTCGGTTTCACTGGCTATTACCGACGTTCATTGTCTTTCCTCGCTTGTCAACGATCGACGGCACGAAGAAAGAGAGAAGGAGCGCGCAAGTTCCACTAGCCTCGTTCCCACAGCCGTTGATTTTTTCCACTTAACCCGATGTCAAATGTCATGAAAGCACCGAATGATAAAAGAACCGTACGTAATGATGAAAGGGCCGAAAGGTAAAACTAAAAAACACCAAATGATAAAAGATCCGTAAATGTGGCAAAGGCACCGAACGTAATGATAAAAGCACCGAACGTAATGTTTCAAAGTACCGAAAGTAATGTTAATAAAAGCACCGAACGTAATGTAAAAATCACCAAACGTAATGTAAAAAGCACCGAACGTAATGTGAAAGCACCGAACGTAATGTAAAAAGCACCGAACGTAATGTAAAAAGCACCGAACGTAATGTAAAAGCACCGAACGTAATGTAAAAGCACCGAACGTAATGTAAAAGCATCGAACGTAATGTTAAAAGGGCCGAATAGCAAATGCACCTAACGGAAAAGAGCCACCAAAGGCAGTAACGGCGTTCCATAGTACTGTAGTTGTCTCGAGTTTACGCAAGTACGCACTTAATTCACTAGGCCTTGGTGGGGCTAGTACTGTAGGGAGCCTAGCTAGGCCGCCTAATATGGAACGCCGTTACTGCCTTTGGTGGCTCTTGTCCGTTCGGCGCATTTGCTATTCGGCCCTTTTAACATTACGTTCGGTGCTTTTACATTACGTATTTTTTTTTTTTTATGCATGATGATGAAAATAGTAATATATTATTAGTGGGCATGTGTAAGTTTGTAGCCTATTCAATCTAAGTTCGGCCTATGCATACTGGTAGGCATGACACTGCTAACGTAGCATCTTATTCAATGGGGATTCGTGGAATACTGATACTGTAGATTGATAAAAAAAAAAATCGCCCCTCACTACCTAAAATTGTGTTGAGATGTGACGCTAAACAAGAACTTTTTTTTATTTGGCCTTATTGAACGCATTTTGTGAATGGTGACTATACAAAGGCAATATATAAAACTGTTAGTCAAATACTATAGGTCAAGGATGCAGATTACTGTCCAATTATTCCTGCTTTGGTAGTATAACTGCAGAAGAGCGTTCATTTAAGTTTTTGGTTACGGATAATATTAATTCGTCGTAGTAAGATGGAGGTGTCGTTGAATATCAGCTATGCCAGTTCGAATCACAGTTCTCCTCTCATTGGACTTACGTTGCATCAGCTGCTTGAGAAGAGGGTTAATGAACATCCAGATCGTGAAATGTATGTCTTACCCGAAGACGGCGAGAGAATCACATTTGCATTCTATAAAGATCGGGTATGTATATACGGAAGCGTATTGCTGCTAACTAAAAAAATAAAATTCAGATATTATATTGTTATTACGAGATATTATCTCGTAATAACGAGATGATTATCTCGTAATTACGAGATATTATCTCGTAATTACGAGATATTGTCTCGTAATTACGAGATAGTATCTCGGAATATCTCATAATTACACGAGATAATTATCTCGTAATTACGAGATAATTATCTCGTAATTACGAAATATTAACTCGTAATAATAATAGGGTAAGGGTGGGAAATTGTGGGTGGGAAATTGTGGACAGTATTTCATATCATTCTCTTTGTGTGTGCAATTGAGTTTTAGGTGTAAAAGTTAGAAAAGAACTTAAACGTTATGGTCGTAAATCGTGTCGGTCCGCTGTAGTTTATTTTTCACCTTGTTTTGTTTTGGTTGTGTGCTTACATGCACATATTGACCCCTTTTATTTTCATGTAATACAAGAACTATAATAGCACACACAATAATATGGAATATTTAAAGCTAATAAACCAGACTTTTGTTTCATTTTAGGCTAAAAAATACGTAGGCCAAGCACGGCAGCCGAAAATGCCGATGTGTATCGCCTGGGCATAGGAATGGATTAGCATGTGTGTTTGATAAAATTCGTCCACAACGGGGTCCACACCCGGGTCTACAAAAGCTAAATACGAATCATTCTACAAAAGCCTAGGCATAATATCACGAAGGCCTCTGACCATTAGAGAAAATATTCTATTTTCTCTATGCTCTGACTGATGGTTTTCGTTGACTTAGGTTTATGCTGACAATTTCACAGTACATCGTGGTTACTTTTATTCAGTTCTGTTCTGGTTGTGACGTATCTCTAGGAGTCTTGAAAGGGTGTAGGGGTGATGATTGGGTGGGTGTGGGGAGAAGATGGTATGGGGTGTAGGGGGTTCTGATTGGGTGGGTGTGGTGCGAAGATGATGAGGAGAATCGAGGGACTAGCTCGCACGATAAGTTGATATGTCAGATGACCATTAGAGAAAATATTCTATTTTCTCTATGCTCTGACTGATGGTTTTCGTTGACTTTGGTTTATGCTGACAATTTCACAGTACATTGTGGTTACTTTTATTCAGTTCTGTTCTGGTTGTGACGTATCTCTAGGAGTCTTGAAAGGGTGTAGGGGTGATGACTGGGTGGGTGTGGGGCGAAGATAGTATGGGGTGTAGGGGGTTCTGATTGAGTGGGAGTGGTGCGAAGATGATGTGGAGAATCGAGGGACTAGCTCGCACGATAAATTGATATCAGGAGATTTTTAACTTCTTTTTTTAGCATAATTTACTATACGATCATTTTCATTGTGGGAGAGACTGCAGAGGACGCGACTTTTTGTGGAGGGAAAAGAGGCATGCGTACCCACCCACCCCATCCTCTAAATACGCCGTCTCAGAGTATCTTGCTCTCAACCCTCTCCTCTCGTCCATCAGACAGTTTACATTCTATTACACTAGAGTCATTAAACACTAAGTCAACACCTGGAGAGCAGCTTAGCTCAGTCGGCTTATATGGTGGTAGCCGCTGTGTGTGCGCTGAACCGTGGAGATCTCTGGTCTCCGGTTCAATTCCCATCGCTGCCTGTCCTTGTATTTCAGCTAGAGGGCTGAAATACAAGTTACAATAGCACACCGTCTTTCGGATGAGACGTTTAAGCCGTTGGTCCCGTGTGCATTATGGGCCATGTGCACGTTAAAGAACGCAGTACACTCTTCGGAAAAGAGTAGGGGATTGTCTTCCGGTGTACTGCCCAATCACCACCAGAAGTACCCCACTGGAAATAAGTCTTCTTCTAGACTTTCGTGGGCTATCTTTTGTGTTTACACCGAATAAATTCAACCCAACATAGTATAAACTACTTGCGGTGAATTTAGAATTAGGCGAATAGAGTAGGCCGGCGTTATTCGGCGCGTGACTCTGTATGGGCCCCATAATTCGGCGATAATCGGATTAAAAACTGGTTATTTTTTCTGAGGTTAGGAACGCCAGTAGTGAAAGCTTTGTTGTAGGTGTGTGAGTGCACTTCTTTTTATAGGCCTACAAAAATATATGTCAGTGATGTCCGCGGGTCTTAGCTCAACGCATGGGCGTGCGTTCACACACTGGTGATAAGATATTATCATTGGAAATAATGGATTGGCATAAATTGTTTAATGTTTTCTTCTAGGTTGAACGATTAGCTACAGGACTTTTATCCATTGGAATGAAGAAAGGCGACCGATTGGCAATATGGAGCAATATCCATATGGAATTCCTGCTTTTTGTTGGTGCCGCAAGATCAATTGGCGTTATTACAGTATATTATACCAAGGATAATAAATAGCAGAAGATAGAGCAGCTTCCCAAAATAGTGGAACATCCGGCCAAAATGCATTGTGGGTACACGGAGAAAAATTTTACTGCATCCGCGCGGCGGCGCTATATAGTAATAATAAAGGCGCCGCTCTGGTTTGTTTGTTTCCTGTAATTTCTCCACTTAGTAAAATGTTCAAATTTTACTGCAACCGCATGAGGGCCAATGTTCCATCGATTTTAATGCAAATAAGCGGAGCAGCTCATTCTTCTGCTATTTAAGTTCTTTGATTATACCATCAGTTCCACTATTTACATGAATCTAGGCGATCTATAATTTATACAAAAATATTAAGAGATGGGCAGTGGGTATTTGACTTTACATCTGACATTCTTTTAATGTCTGTGTTTGATTCAATATGTTTGCAGGTACGTATTCGACCAACCTTTCCCAATATTGACGTCAAAGATATTTTGCTTCTAGTGAGTAACAAAATATTTTCTGTTTGCTTAGTCATAACGATTATAAGTCATTATTCTTATAAAAGTGTATGTATTATTGAATATGTTGTCAAAATATACACAAATACCTGGAATGGACATTTCCCAAATGTCAATTAAACTGACCAATCAGAACATGGCCAGCAATATGCGCATGCCCCACAAACACAAGTTTAAGTTCGTTTAGGCTGTCCTTCTCTGTGGGACCTTTGCAACAGTACCCGAGATCTTTTGGTGATTTCTATGTATTATTGGTTGCTTCATAACCACACATTAGGTATATAGCTCATTTTTATGTATTCTGTGTATAAGAGACAGCTAAATACGCCGTCTCAGAGTATCTTGCTCTCAACCCTCTCCTCTCGTCCATCAGACAGTTTACATTCTATTACACTAGAGTCATTAAACACTAAGTCAACACCTGGAGAGCAGCTTAGCTCAGTCGGCTTATATGGTGGTAGCCGCTGTGTGTGCGCTGAACCGTGGAGATCTCTGGTCTCCGGTTCAATTCCCATCGCTGCCTGTCCTTGTATTTCAGCTAGAGGGCTGAAATACAAGTTACAATAGCACACCGTCTTTCGGATGAGACGTTTAAGCCGTTGGTCCCGTGTGCATTATGGGCCATGTGCACGTTAAAGAACGCAGTACACTCCTGTCTCTTATACACATCTAGATGTGTATAAGAGACAGTTTCCTCTCTGGGCATGCCGCTAACCTGTCTTTTTGTATTTCCT